GAACTGCTGTGTTTCCAAGGGGTACTCTTTCAGAGTTCCATGCTGGACAAATGACACAGGCCCAGGAGCAATGGAACGAAGAAATTCAGGAATAATTTCTGCTCTGATAGTAATCCAAAGCCCTATGTCTGGGGTTCATCTTAGAATTTAACCAAAGGACAGATGAAGAACATGTTGGCATTATACTAAATCACTTCTCTGAGGTTTCAGCATACTGGATGACGAATGTCCCAAACACCTGGCCATTACTAATGGTTCCTGAGGCATGTTCCTTTTAATGAAGCACCTTTATTAGGACCTCCCCTCCGGCTCCTTGGTGGACTTGTTGCTAAGAATGCAGTATTTCAGATGCAAGATGTCTTAACACTCTTGTATGTCCCAGGGATAAAAACTATGACGTATTCATAACCAAACTTAATTAAAATGCCCTGGTTTAATTTTGTAGCAAACAGTCCAGTTCATTCATAGTCTTCTAACCCCTAACTGCTCAAAAGGGACACTGTAGCAACTCTAAGGGGAAAAAAAAAACAAAAACAAAAACCTAGCTCACTCAAGAGCTAGGATTGTCCAAAGGCCAAGTTTCTCAAGATTTGTGAAAGGAGCCTGCTAGAGGTGCCCCTGAGGAAACCAGGGGCTTCTGTGTGGCCAGAGCAGGGTGAGGGGAGGCCGTCTCCCCAGCATGAGTAGGGCTGCTGGGGGCTCTAAGGTGTGAGGCCTCAGTACCCCAGTGGACTGTCCACCCTGGGCACAGATGGAAACTAGACAAAACCAGACTGTGAACCTGAGTCTGGATAAGTCTTTACAAGACACCCGGTCCAAAGTCATCATTTACAGTGGGGGAGAAAAAGCCAAATAGGTTAAGCCGCTTGCCCAACTCTCATGTGTAAAGTCAGAAGCAGAACAAGACTAGACTCCAGGAGTCTTATTACTAAGGTAATGAACAGTAACAAGCTTTCTAAGATTACTACATATCTGGCCATTTCATATAATTTTACTTAATTCTCACAATTACAAAATATGAGGCGGGTAAAATCCAGTCCCAAAGGGAAGATGCTGAAGCGGGTTTGGCGGGGGCCATGGGGGGAGAAGTGCACCATCCAAGGTCAAACGTCCTTCAAGTGGGACTCGAAATCATTCTAGAGTTCCTTTCCCTGTGCTTAGTTTCATTCTAACAGATCAAAGGAAGAACGGTGGCCACTGAGGTTCTCGGACATTTGCAGATGCCAGTGAAAGACTATGCCTACTTCAGGGTCGGTGGCCCCAGGCTTCAGTAGTAAACTGTTTACACAAATGGCTGTACCCCCTTCCCTTCCTAGATCCACGTCCCTGTGCAACATGACTTAGCAGCAACTACCATCAAGAGGCAGAACCAGCTTCCCTGCTCCCTGAATCCGGGCTGGCCTTGTCACTTAACTGCGCACCTGCAATGGACCAGGCACCATACCACTTCTGAGCTCAGACTCTAAGGGACCTTGCACGCTTCCATTTGTTTTTTTTTGTTATTGTTGTTGTTGTTTTTGAATCCTGCCAACTGCCATGTAAACAAGCCCAGGCCAGCCTGATGGAGGTGACAGACCACATGGATCATAGCCAAATCAGCCCAATTGTCCCAGCTCAGGTCCCAGGATGTCAGTGAGTTCAGCCAAAATTGGCCAGAGCAGTACAACCATCCTGCTACCAAATGGTCACTACTGTATTAAACCACCAAGTTTTGGGTGGTTTGTTATGCAGCAAAAGAAAACGAATGCAGCCCTCAAAGTCAAAGCATCACGCACTGGTGAAGCCTGCTGTCCTCACCCGGCTTACTACGTCTACCCATCCATCTAAACTATCTACCCACTCATACCCATCTAATCTATCTATTTATTTTGAGATAGGGCTTCACTATGTTGCCCAGGCTGGACCTGAACTCATGGGCTCAAGCAATCCTCCTGCCTCAGCCTCCTGAGGAGGGGGGACCATAGGTGAGTGCCATCACACCTGGCTATATTCCTTTTTAATCCTGGAACATAGCAGGCCAATCCAAGGCCCAAAGAGAGATTGGGATAAAGAGACCAAAATGTCTCTGTCACTTTATGCCAGACTGGTGATGCTCCCGCAGTGGCCACTCACATTTTCCATGCCTACCCTTGCCTCACCCGGACATGTCTCACGGTCTTTAAGGCCCCACAGGACCAACTATTTATAGCCTTCCCATCTATGCAGGGACCCGCAGAAAACCAGCAGAACACATGGCTGAGGCACACGCGACCAAGGAATGGCCCTGTTCATGTGTTTCCAAGTAAAGAACAGCAGGAAGCGACTCACCGAGGGCACAGGCAAGCTGCCATGCCGGCTGAGAAAGGAGTTAGAGACGGACACACTGAGGCCCTGAGCGGCACTGCCGTCCTCGGGGGTGAAGGCCACTTTAGTTTGCTGGACACAGTAGGAGACAGAGGAGAAGGAAGCAGCAGCACAGGAGGCCTGCTGGACAGAGGGGAGGAGAGAGAAGGCAGGGAAGGAGGGAGAGAAGCAGAGAACAGTCAGATACGTGCAGGGAAAGGCCATGGAGGCTGCTGTCCACATCCGCGCAGGGACGTCCTGGAGAGGGACAGCTTCTGGGCTCAGTTTAGGGACTAAACCAGCTGCTGAAGGCGATCTGCATGAAAGGGCACCCTCCTTCACTTCCTTACACTATATCCTGAAATTGTGTCCACTGGGAGCAGGTTGGGTAGGAGGAGGTGAGGGGGCTAGGGCCACACAGACCTGGGCTGACTCTGGACTCTGAGCTGCTCCTCTGTGGGGAGCGGATCCATGTGTCATTCACACATCTTCAGAACTCAAGATGGGGCTCCAGCTGCCTGGGTTTGAGTCTGGACCCTGCCATTTCTGTTTAGCCTTGGGTACTACTTAAAGGTCTCCGTGCTCAGGTTTTCCATCTGTAAAACAGGGGTAACCCTGGCGCCTCCTGTATGCGGCTGTTGGGAGGATGACATGGGATATGTGTGAAGCACCTGGAATCTTGCCTACCATACTGTATGTGGGCCAACAGGTGTGTATAATGAGCATCATTTTTGTCTGTGAAGCGTGGATAAGGCTTCCTGCATCTGCATTTGAGAGAGGGTGTGACCAATAGCTGGCAGGGCCTGTTAGGTGGTATGCCTGGGCTGCCCTTAGTCTGGGCATGGCTCCCAGGTCTTTCGTTTCTAGCTTCGGGCTTGGATTAAGGCTCTCTGGCTCTGTCAGCCTCAATTTATTTATAATGGGGATGCCAGGAGCTGTGGCAAAGACCATGTAGAGCCAGATGAGAGCCCTGGTGCTTACCTGGGGAAGTGTTCAACACAGGTGTTCCTAACAGGCCTACGGGGGCTGAGCTCACTACTGCCCTGCAGGCATGGTAGAATAGGTTCTGATTCCAGGCACTCACGAGAGGTGTCTCCCCAAATATTCAGAAGCCTGTGGACTCCACAGCATGCAGAAGATGCCCAACAATAGGCAATGGGCTGAAAATACTTTCAATACATCTGGCTCAGCAATGGTGTTTTTTTTTTTTTTTTAAGATAGGGTCTCACTGTGTTGTCGGGGCTGGTCTTGAACTCCTGGGATCAAGTGATCCTCCTACCTCAGTCTCCCAAGTAGCTGAGAATATAGGCATGTGCCACCACCAGTCCTGGTGCTTGGCAATGGTTTTAACCAAACATTTTAGGCAAGGGGTCTCTAAATGAGCATTTATGTTTCCATGGTGGAGACCCTTTTTGAGACGTCTTCAGAGCAAGTGAGATTCATATTCTCAATTTTGTCTGTGGGGTGGGCAGGGCAGTTGAAGATCTGAGACCCTGAACGCACAAACCCTGTGTCACCCTGACACAGCTAATGAATGGCAGAACGGGAATCCAGGACTCCCAACTCCAAGCCTGGCCTTTCCTCTACTGGACATAGCCACCTCTGAAGGGGCTGAGTTGGTTTCTGAGTGGAAACCAAACAGCTTGCTTGGTGAGCCAGAGCCTACTGAGTGTAGGAAGGCTCAGATATATGGAGTAACCCAGGGACATTTGTCCTCCAGTCTGCAGCTGCCTCCTAGAAAAATCAGATGGTCCCTGATGTCCTCTCACAATGGATAAAAGATGGCCCAGTGCACACCAGTCCCTTCCTGGTAGAACCCACCAGACTGGCTAGCACAAGAACACAGGAGCCCAGGGAGCTCTGAACAAGCCTCGAGCTCCCTGTGGGGTACACTTTTCCTGGGGAGCACGGCTGGACAGGAGGTTCAGATTCTCAAACCTGATTAGGGCCCTCCACATTCATTAACTGGCAGCAAAGAGAGAAGCCACAGGCATCCCTGATCTGCCCACCCGCCCAGTGCCTGGGCAGTTCCGGAGCCTCACAGGGTGCCCACGGTGGAACAGCCTGCCTTCTGTGCTGACTAGTGCTTCATTACGTGCATGGGAGTCCTCAGCGCAGGAGTGTTTTCTAGAAGAGAGAGGTGACGTGTCTGGAACAGAGTGGCTCTGTTTAAAGCCATCCTCTGCTTCAATGGCGCTTGTTTTCCTTGGGCTCTCCCTGGCCAGGGCTGGGATGTAAGTCACTCTACACAGTTAGGACCATTATGCCAATCAAGTCCACAGATGGCCGTGCACAGACCATGCCCTGTGCTTTGATTGAGTCCCTCCTTTCTGGGAGGTCTATGTTGAAGCCAAAGAAGAAATAAAAAATACAAGAGACTGTCAGCAGAAAGAGCAAACACCCTGAGTACAAGCCTGTCCCTGCTGTGTGGGGCCGCTCTGGAAAAGAAAGGTCCCTGCACCCCAGTGTAGGGAGGTGGCAGAGTGGGAGACAGGCTGCTGGTGAGCATCTCAGGAGGAAAAGAAAGCATCTGCGTGGAGACAGTGCCTTCCATACCCAAACCCAGGGCCCTGCCACGGCTGCGAGGAGGGTTAACCCTGCCCCTGAGGAGGGTCATTCTGGCTCCTAGAGATTTGCTAGGTTCAGAAGTTCTGGTCACAAAGGAGACTGCCACTTACCAGCTGCCGCTGCTTGGGGGGAAGGGCAGGTGGTGGGGCCAGCTCCTGCACAGAGTCTGCCCCAGTGAAGGAGTCGCTGAAGCCATACACCTCCATGAGGAGCTTGTTCTTCTGCTGGTAGATGTGCTCGTTCTGCGGTGTCTGGTAGAACATGGAGGGCTGCGGCTCTGAGTAGTCCTCCAGCAGCTGCATGTACGCCAGCACTGTGAAACCGAGGGACAAAGCTGCAGTAGGGCTAGGGGCTGTCACGGCAGGAGCCCCGACCCCACATTCTTCCCACAGCAGCTAGGGGGCTTTCCACTGAAAGCACCTCAGGGAGGGATGAATAGGTTGAGTGCAGAGGACTTCTTAGGCAGTAAAATCAAACTCTGTCTGATGTGCTAACAGAGGAGGCACATCCAGACTGGCAGATGCGCAACACCAATGGGGAACCCTAATGCGAACTTGGGACTCGAGTGAGAGCATGTGGTGGGCACAGGGATAGCAGGTCTCAGCCACCTCCTGAGCAGGCACTTTCCCTTCGGGGCAGGTCACAAGTGCCAGGTGGAGCTGACATTCAGACGCCCAGAAAAAGTGGCAGCTCTGCAGTGCTAAATTTTGTATCTTCAAATAAGCACAAAGCCAGAGGCTTCTCTGCAAACCTAAACTAGTCAACAAATCAAGGAAGGCCAGACACTGAGCTGAGGAAGACAGTCACAGAGGTAGCGAGTTTATTTCTTCCCTGAGCTGCACTGGGGGTCCAGGTATACAGGAAATGCTCTCTCTCCAGGGGTGTCTTTCTGATGCTCGTTCTCCAGGGGAGAGTGGTGTCACTGAAGAAAAGGGTTCAAAGTCACCTTTTTATTTAAAAGAATATGTAAGAATTTCTTACTAGCTCCCACAAGCACCGAGCAGAACTTGGTTGTAAAGATGCACAGGAAGAGATGATTCCCTCTGTGGTCAGCTGCTGCTACTGAAAGGGCAGCTAACAGCCCCCTGAGCTTGTCCCACACTTCCTTTTTTTTTTTTTTTTTTTGATGGGGTTTCACTCTTGTTGCCCAGGCTGGAGTGCAATGGCGTGATCTCAGCTCACCGCAACCTCCGCCTCTTGGGTTAAAGCGACTCACCTGCCTCAGCCTCTCAAGTAGCTGGGATTACAGACGCATGCCATCATGCCCAGCTAATTTTTGTATTTTTAGTAGAGACAGGGTTTCGCCATGTTGGTCAGGCTGGTCTTGAACTCCTGACCTCAGGTGATCCACTTGGCTCAGCCTCCCAAAGTGCTGGGATTATAGGCGTGAGCCACCGTGCCCAGCCCCACATTCCCTCTTTAATGCTGCACAACTAACATCACTAGGCTTCAGAGGAAGAGGCAAGCCTAGGAAGGTGATCCCAAGCACCCACAAATTGCTCCCTAAAAAGACTAAACATGGCCAGGCACAGTGGCTCATGCCTATAATCCCACTGCTTTGGGAGGCTGAGGCAGTAGGGTCACTTGAGACCAGGAGTTTGGCACCAGCCTGGGCAATATAGTGAGATCTCCATCTCTAAAGAGAAAAAATAAAAGAAAAAAATCAGCAATGTTGGTATGTGCCTATGGTCTCAGCTACTCAAGAGGCTGAGGTGGGAGGATCCCTTGAACCCAGGAGTTCAAGGCTGCAGTGAACTATGGAGAAGAAAAAAAGACTACACACAACCACCTCTGCCTGACTTCTGTGAAACTGTGATCTATTCAGGAGGGCTTTTGGAACTCTTGATGTTGAAGTCCTCGTAGAGACCTGCCAGCCAAGCATAGAATAGCAGTGATGTTCCCAGCCTTCTAGAAATGAGGAGGACCTGGTCCATTTCAAAAAGCCCAGAGACCAGGCAGCCAGCACTGCTGGGAAGGCTCAGCCACCAGTGCTCAGAGCCTGGGACTGGGGATTTCAGGTGGCAGACAATGATCACAAGGAAGGCTTGTCTGGCACAAGGGACTCATGGGGCTGCCCCTGGCAAGAGGGGCTGGGGACTCTCGTGATGTCACTGCATCCCAAATGATGAGGACACGCCATGATGTTGGGACTGAATGTGCATGAACTCAAGCCAGCATTAGCCACATGTCCACCAGGGTGATGATTCTTTCCTTCTTTCCCTCAAAGCAATTTTGTGAGATATTTTCCACAATGTCACTTGAGGGTCCCCTCGGGAAGTGAAGAGCAGTCAGAGGACTGAGGCTCAGGGTGCCTTGAGTTTGGGGCTCTTTCACAGGGTACAGAGAAGACCACCCCCTGCATAGGGGTCAACACTGAAAACTGGATGGGACCTGAAGGAAGGAGGGCAAAATCCCTTCCTCCTTGGCTTGGGAAGAAGCGTAACAGGCTGGTACAACTCAGGCTTCGCTCTTAGTCCTAGATCTGTGCCCCACTTGCTGTTGATTTTGGGCAATACTCAGTTCCTCTACCTATGCTCCAGTTTCTCTACCTGTGAAACCAGAGCTAATAGGGCCTGCCTTGCAGGTGGCTGTCAGGACCACCTTCGATGGGGCATGTGAAGCTTTAGCTCAGGGCATGCCACACCTGCAGCTCGGGAGTTTCTTAGAGGTTTGCAGACTCTAGTGCTGGAGACACTGATGAATGAGCTAAAGCCTCAAAATGGTGGCCTAAATGAATAGGCATTTTCAGCCACTTGAGACTGCTTGAAAGGAAACAATGGCTACCCCTCCCTTTCCTTCTCCTCTCTAGAGACCCTGCATGAGGATCAACACCCACACTTGTTCTAGGGGCTGGAAGGGGAAGGCTCTCTGGCATCTGCTGCATTTGCAAGGATGCTATCCTACCCAGTGTCTGAGCTCAGAGGACCCCTCCCCTAGGGAAGGAAAGGGATGAGCCCAAATGGCATGCTGCCCAAGATAACAGGGGTGGAGGCGGAGGCCAACAGCTCTTTAAACACTTGTCCATGCAGAGGGAGGGGCAGAGAAGGAAATGTTTCCAGCATTGCCACTGCACACCCCTCTGCGGGAGCCCTGGTTTCTGATGAGCAAATGTACACGACAGATGGGGATGACATCATTAGTCCCACAGAGCCAGCTCCCCCTCTAGCTAGGGGGCCACACCGATGAGGCCATCGCACAAGCTGGGCAACACCCACCCAGGAGCTGGGAAATGCATGACACTAGTGTAGCCGCCACCTCCTGTGGACCACACAGCTGGCCCTCAGGGTGATCCTTGCTGGATTTAACCAAGCCAGGTCTCCCCTTCTTTGAGAATAGGGCCCAGCTCTAGGCTGGCTCAGATGTTCTCATTTTGGGAATTTGGAGTAGAGATTCCATTTCTAGTTCAAAGAAGTTCTCTGCTGGATGTGTCAACTGAGGCCAGGGAAGCCTGGGGCTGTGTGGCTAATGTGGCCACACACATTGAAACAGTGACAGCTGCACTGCCAAGAAAATGGAAGCAGAACTATGCTAGTGAAGCGGGGAGAGGGCGGGGGCAGAGAGCCAGGCAACTCCCGAAAACGTGGAGCAGTTAGGGGGAGCTAGGAGAAAACAGAATTTCTAGAACTCTTCTTAGTACTTTTATGACAGATTTACAGTTGGAAAATATTCAAAATTTCAGCTCCACCCCTGTGCTCCAATAATATCACATATTAAAATGTCTGGTCCAAGAAGTGTCCTCAATTACTTCTGTAGGGCAATCTCAGCTCCCAAGTCATTCTGAGAGCATGAACAGAGGACAGCGTGCTCTCTCTAGACAGGGATCCTTAAAACATCACTCCTTGGACACTAGGTAAAAGTTCTGCTGAAATTCACATGTCCACCTCACTCCATGCAGATATGGCTGCAAGGCTGTCCTGCAGACCAGGAAACTTGTTCCTCTCTGTCACTGAGATCAGGCCAGAAGGTCAACTGCTGCCATCTAAAGAGGAGAAGCCCTTGGGCTGCGTGGAGACCAGGCCTGAGATTTTATAGAAAGTGTAAAGGAGAGGTCAGCTGATCAGGCTTTAAAAAGGATCACCTGGAATGACAAAACCAGGCTCCCAGAAGTGTCTACGTACCTGGTTGGCCTATGTTTTATGAAATAATGAGGCCACTGGTTTGATTTTGGTCTAATGCTGAAATCAAACATGCTGCCATTTCAGGCTATAAAACACACTTCCCGACAATGGTGCAACAAAAGCTTACTGTGTTTGTTTTTCTTCTCTGGTAGAGGAGGTGGTTTTTCTGGATCACCCGTTGATTCAGGAGCAGTAAAATCACCCACAAATTCTACAGGGGCTGAGGAACCTCCATGCTGAAAGGGGAGAATAGCAGCGAAGGGCGCGTAGGTGACGGGCTGGACTGGGGCTGTGCTCTGCAGGTCCTCCCCAGAGATATTGTCGTACTGCGAGGGATGCCGCTCGAAAGACACCCTGCAGCCAGAGCTGTCCGTTGTCTGGGAGGCTGCGCTCCTGCGCTTCTTCTCGGGGAGAGCAGGCGGCGTGTCTGTCTGCTGCCCTGGGGCCAGTGTTCCGTCTGGCTGGGGATGGCTGCCAAGAGGCAGCTGGAAAGGATGGCCAAGAAATGGAGACCCAGACTCCCCCAAGGACTCTGGCAACGGGCTAAGGCTCCAGGCCGTCTGTTGAGGTATCTGGTCTGCGTTAGAGAGGTCTTGCTGGAGGAATTCATAGTCGGGATCATAGTGGTCTGCAGTCACAACAGGAAAAAAAAGACCTGTTAGCCACAGGCCCTGCAGGAGCAGCCAGGTGCACCCACCTCTCCCTGTCTGGCTCATGGGTGTGTGACAAAGACCTGTCTCCAGGGTTTAATATTTACATGTTATATTCTTCATTCTTCTCCCTGATTATAAAAGCAAACCAGATGGGAATATGGCTGTTCTGCTATACTTTTCTGTATTTTTTACTTAAAAAAAAAAGAAAAATACACAACCATTACAGAAGCCGTGGCAAATTACATCAGGAAAATAAAAATCACTCACAATCCTGTATTCTTAACAGTACTTTCTATTTCCCCCCCACTTTTTTTTTGAGACAGAGTCTCGCTGTCGCCAAGGCTGGACTGCAGTGCTGCAATCTCGGCTCACTGCAACCTTGGCTTACTACAGCCTCTGCCTCCAGGGTTCAAGCAATTCTCCTGCCTCAGGCCTCCCAAATAGCTGAGATTACAGCCATGAGCCACTATGCCGGGCCTCTATTACATTTTGATGTATTTCCTTAAATGCCCTTTTTGCCTCTGGGATTCCTTTTTAAAAAAGCCAAACTGAGGGCCAGGTGTGGTGGTTCACACCTGTTATTCCAGCACTTTGCAAGGCGGAAGCAGGCTGATCACTTGAGGCCAGGAGTTTGAGACCAGCCTGGCCAATGTGGCGAAACCCTGCCTCTACTAAAAATACAAAAACTGGTTGGGTGCAGTGGCTCACGCCTACAATCCCAGCACTTTGGGAGGCTGAGGCAAGCAGATCACCTGAGGTCAGGTGTTTGAGACCAGCCTGGCCAACATGGTAAAACCCCCACCTCTACTTAAAAAAAAAAAAAAAAAAAAAAAAAAAAATTAGCCAGATATGGTAGCGCATGCTTGTAATCCCAGCTACTTGCCGGGGGGTAAGGCAGGAGAATCAACTCAGGAGGTGGAGGTTGCAGTGAGCCTAGATTGCTTCACTGTACTTCAGCCTCGGTGATACAGTGAGACTCTGTCTCAAAAAAAAAAAAAAAAAAAAAAAAGAGAAACAATTGAGAATACTATGTAAATGGTCTCGTACATATTCTAGTTAACAATATGAGTGATTTTTAATAGCTACAGATTATTCCAGCAAATGAGTGTACCACAATTCATGTGATTTCCTACCAGTGAAATCTTGCTATTAATCTCTGATTATGCTCCTAGGATACATTCTCAGAAGTGAAAATATCTAGTTCACAGGATACAAATAGCTTCCTGCTCTCTAAACCCCCTGCCCAGCAGGCATTCAGCACCGAAACCAGACGGCTGGCTCGTGAAGCTTCCTCATCTTCAGCCTCTGTCAAGTGTTGTCAGGCCCCCCACCCCTTTGTTTAAAGCTCTTGACACAAATGGCTATTAATTTTGGTAAAGAGAGTCAAATTACACACCAACAGATGAACTGTAACAACAGTTACCGCTTGAATATCCAGGCTGTGGTTTTACATTGTAATTTCATTTATAGTGTCTCCTTGGGAGGCAGGTACTGTTACCCTCGTTTTGCAGATGAGGAAGCTGAGGCTCAGATTTTAAATGAGTTGGCCAAAGTCACACAATCAATGATCGCATGACCTGGGACTCCCACCCAGGGCTGCATAGCCCCAAAGAAGCCACGGAGAAGGATGGAACAGGACACTGGCAGCTCACCTAGTGTTTCACAGCTTGTGTTCCGGGAGCACTGCCCACTGTCCCTGTCCAGAGAGGAAAGCTGCTCATCTGACTTGCTGAGCTTGCCTATGCTGCTGCAGGGTGACAGGCGGGGCGACTCTCCACCGTATGAGTGGCTGCCTCCTGACAGTCGTCTCTGTGCGTAACAGTCAACGTCGAAATCCTCAAGTGGAAAAAGAGAAGCAAAACCAAGTCACTTTTGAGAACCAGTGGCAGAGATCAGGGGTGAGGCAACCGGTGCATTTCCTTAGAGGAGGAAATACTGCCAGGCCAGCTCAGAAACCACCTCTGACGTCAGCAAGCAAAGGACACATACAGTTGAGAAGCAGCCATCTGGAGTTTGTCGGGGGTCTGGGGCTGGGGTCAGCTGCGGCCCAGCTGTCCCCAGGAGATGCCTTTGCCTCTGGCCTCCCTGCCCTGACCCTCATACCCATATGGGAACTCTGACCATGTCCGGGAGAGAGAATGATGAGTATAAGGTCTCACCCCCGATGTGACAAACACCAGCCTGAAGACCATGGGTTTCTTTCAGCTTCAGGAGCCAAATCTCTGAACATCCCCACCCCCTCCCCTGCTTTCCCATGCAGGGAACAGGGGCTGCATTACCTGCCTATTGATTCCAACAGGCAAACTGGAGCCACTGGTGGCTCGGCTCATGGGGGCCACCACAGCCACTCGGGTAGGGGACGGCGCCGACTGTCTTTTCTTGGGTGGCAACGCTGGTGGAGGACTGAAACAGACCAAAACGTCCAGGCAGACCAAACCACACTCACCAAAGAGATAGTGGGGTACAGGATGTGGGGTTCTTTCATTACTAGATTCTCCACATCCAATATTCACACTTCAACTCTTGTCTACTCCCCTCCACCAAAATAAAACCTGTAAATACCAAATGAACCAAAAAGAAAAACCCTTTCTTTTCCTTTCACAATAAATCATACCAGGTGTCTCTGGGTTGAGGCCAAAAGGAAGGCTTCAGGAGAGCTCAGTGTGGCCAGAGAGGGCCAGGCGAGGTGGAGACATCTCTGGAGTCAGCCTCCCAAGGAGGGCCAAGCCCCCAGCGCTAAGGAGCAATGGCCCGAGCCCTACCTTCCTCCCTTTCTTGCTCAATATGCCATGGAGGTGCTGGACAAACAGGAAGGTAATTACCTATTATCAACCACCCGAATGCCAGGCAGAGGGGGCTTGGGGGGCGCGACCTCTTCATCCGCGGCGTCTAGGAGGAGCTCGGTTGACTGCGACATCCCGGTTGTCTTGTTTAGGATCTCTACCTCTCGGTCTGTCAGGGGGAGCTCTGCCGGGCTGGAGAATTGGGAAGAACTCAGGGTTATGAAAGGTCAAAGACGGGACAGAGCATACACGGGCCCCTAGAGGGTGAGGATGTGACCAGGGAGAACACAATGGGTGAGGTGGGGCTGAGGAGCAGGCTCTCTGAATACAGAGCCCTGGGGTTCTGGTTTGGTTGCTAATGAGCTACTGGAGCTTGGCTGTGCCCCCAATTTTGCACTCAGTTTCCTCATCTAAAGATGATCTAAGGACTCTCTAAAATGCTCGAGGCCAGGAGTGGTGGCTCACACCTGTAATCCCAGCACTTTGGGAGGCCAAGGAGGGCAGACCACTTGAGGTCAGGAGGTTGAGACCAGCGTGGCCAATATGGTGAAGCCATGTCTCTACTAAAAATACAAAAATTAGCCGGGCATGGTGGCACATGCTTGTAGTCTCAACTACTTGAAAGGCTGAGGCAGGAGAATCTCCTGAACCCGAGAGGAGATTACAATGAGCCCAGACTGCCCCACTGCACTCCAGCCTGGCCAACAGAGACTCTGTCTCAAAAAAAAAGAGGCTCCAAATTTATGTTTTCTATTTCTACTAGGAGGTTGGAGTAGAAATGGATATAAACCCTAAAAAGCATCCACGTCAGTTTACTCTTGATCAAGCCAGAGTGCTCTCAAGTCAAAGCCCCCAAGCCCAAGCCATTAAAGTTCTTTGTAATTATGAAATAAAGCTGCCCAGCAAAAGCACTGGTGTGTGTCACTGGACACGCTCACACACGGTCCTTGGAAACAATCACACTGAAGAGGAAACTTGAGATGGGGTAAATACTTTAAGCCTGTGTGAAATATACACACACTGCTCACCCCAGAAAAAAGAATATGGGCCTCCAGCAGCCCACCCTTGTGCTGCCCACCCCCTAGACCCCATCCTTGTCAAGTGTAGACTTTGCCACTGGGCGTGACCTCCACAACGGGAGGGTTAGTCAGCACCTACCCATCAGGCTTGCCGGCAGGGGAACTGGGCTTCACGGGGCTCGTCGGAGATGGACGTCCCTGCTTCTCGATGGTGAGCCTGACCAGCTCCTACCCCCAAAAGAGAAAGGCAATGAGCAAAGCTCCCGTCACCACTGAGTTTCCACAAGAAAGCAGGCAGGTGCTGTCTGTTCTCTACTGCTGAGTCTCATTTCTGTGTCTGTAGATTCCCCATGTACCATAAACCAAGTATCACTTGCCTGAGGTTATCTGCATGACTTTCCAAATGTCCCCTGGTCTCCAAAAGTACCTTCATGGCATGTCAAGAATTTTCAAAATTGTAAAGGCACTTCCTCTTGGAAGGGGAAATGGCAAACCCCACAGTCTCAAAATGATTGTTTTCACACCAATTAAAATACCTGGCAGAACAGATTCCCAGTCTGTTTGCTGGGGAAGAACTCTGTTTTTAGTTCTCTGAAGCCAATGATGGCCCTGGGTGGTTTCCCAAGGCAAGCTGGCCTCAGGTATGGTGGAGCTGCTAGCTGGTGGGGGCTGGCTGGGATCCTTGTCAATGGAGAAGGAGTTAAGGTGAGATAACCCAGCAAAGAAATCATTTTAGAACCATTAACTGAGAAAAACAGAAATAAAACCCAGCCTTTTCCAAATCATAGCAAAAGAAAAAAAAGAAGAGATCAGGGCCCATGTGTTTCTTTTTCAAAAATTAGAGCACATTTTCCCCCAGTTTGATGAGTTTTGACAACCGCATATACCCAAGTAAGCGCACTAAAAAAAAAAACACACACACAGAACACTTCCATCACCTTTTCCAGCCAGTCTGCCCCACCCCAATGGCTTTTTAACTTCTGTTATCATAGACTACTTCTGCCTGTCCTAGAAATGCATATAAATAGAACCATATCATATGTACACCTTTGTGTCCATCTTCTTTTTAAAAACAGCTTTATGGATATATAATTCATATGCCATCAAATTCACCCATTTAAAGTGTATGATTCAGTGGTTTTTAGTCTGTTCACAGAGTTGTGTGACAACATAATCAATTGTAGGACTTCTCATCACTCCAAAAGGAAACTCTCTGTATTCCCCCCAGCCCCTGGCGGCTGCCAATCCACTTCTGGTCCACACAGCTTTGCCTGTTCCATCCCCTGAGCTCAGCATAACGGCTGTGCTTTGCGTGGACGAAGCTCCTGCTGCTCGCTGTCAGCAGTGTTTCCACGTGTGGATGCGCCACAACTTCTCCCTCCATCTTCCAGACAATGGACATCTGGGCAGGGCCTGTATGTGTGTGATGAGGGGCTTCCAGGCTTTCAGCAGGAAGCTGTTTCCAAGTTACAGAGGAGGTGGCAGCAGATGCCAGTGGGCAATACAGCAACCAGAGACCCTTAACCAGAGGCTGCCAAGCCTCTCCAGAATCAGAAAGCACCACACACAAAAACAGCAGCATATGTTGCAAATAAGGCAAAGAGTCAGTTACTATCCTTCCTAGTGCAGGAGTTCTTCTGAAAACACAAAAACTAGAAGAAAGATAAACATGCCAAAAAAAAAAAAAAAAAGATCAAACAAGAAATTTAGATACCAATGGTCAATAAGAGATTCACCCCCTGGGATGGTAATAAAATAGAAACTTCCAGACATGGTGAGTGGGAGCACTGCTTCAGAAAGCCTCTCTAGAGGATGACTTATCAGTATGTATCAAGAGCCTTAAATATTTGCATTAAGAGAATTTTGCACTGGGTGCAGTAGCTCATGCCTATAATATCCTAGCACTTTGGAAGGCTGAGGCAGAAGGATGGCTTGAGCCCAGGAATTTATCCTCCAGCCTGGGCGAGAGACTAAGACTCTGTCTCTTAAAAAAAGAATCTTGCCCAAGAAAAATGTCAAGAATGTATGCAAAAATTAAGCCACAGAAGATGGTCATCACAGAATATACATAAGATTATGTATCATTCATGTGGTAGTTTTGAATAGCTCAATATCCCACAATTAAATATTTGATAATAGGTACTGATTATACAAGTCATGATAGAACCAGACAATGGGCCGACCATCACATTGTCATTAAAAACAAAGTCACAACAAAAATACATGCTACATCATGTAAAGATGCTATAATATACTGAGTAGAAAAATAGTTCTAGGTGATATGCTGGTACATACTGCATGTTTTATAAACAAAGCCAAATCAAGAACATATGCAACAGAAAAAATACAGCTATGAAACACACCTTTATCTTGTTTTTCTTCTATTTTCTAAATTTCCTAAAATGAACATATATTACTTCTGAAATAATAATTATTCAAAACTAAATGCATATATCAACCTCCTGGGCTCAAGTGATCCTTCCACTGTGGCCTCCCAAAGTGCTGGGATTACAGATGTGAGCAACCACACCCAGCCAGGCATATCCACAGAAGCAGGTTCAGTGTTACCCCACTCTGCGACAGTTGTTACCCCATTTGAATGCCTATTCTTGAAATGTGGAGAAGCAAAATCTCTATAAGCCAAGGACTCGCAAGAAAGGAGAACCTTAATACTTGCATGTTAGCACAATTTAGAAGTTACTATTTAAGGAGCAGCCATCTAGCTGATGATCACAAACAGGACAAGATGGAGGATGAGAGACCAATCAGCGAAGACAGCGGTTAGAACAGAGGCAGCTCCCTTGCACCCTATCGCCTGCAGGAAGGAGGAAGGTGGGAGGTGCTTTCTTCTTGAAAGCACAACGCCAGGCCCCAAAGAAGAGCATCACAGACTCGGAGCGAGTTAAAGGGCACCGGAACACAACGCCCTGGATGCCCCACTTTCAGATTCACTCTTCTTTATGAGCAGGGCAAAAGGAACAGAGAGAGGTCTGCATTGTTTGCATCTGTTGATACAGGAAAACATTCTTGATTCTTCGTTGATTCATGAGCAATTATAATTAGATCGTCATCTTTCTGGAGAGGCAGCTGTGAACTCAACTAATGAACAATGGCAAAAGAATCCTGGAATGACAGGCACACATGAGCAGGCATGCACCCGAATTCAAAGAGGACGTCACGATCCCAGTGATGCTCCCTAACGCCAGCTCGCATGGCCTAGGCTTGTAAAGCGTATAAAAGGGGCAGGCTACTTTTTAAATTTATCACCCATTTTCCTGCCTAAACAGAAGGTCTTTAGTCTCAACTTGCCTTAACTATCACAGAGGAGAAATCTTAAAATGTGCACATATCTGGCTACTGTGCTTACACCCTAATCTCATTGAAAGTTGACCATTTATAACTTGGCATGAGCCCAACACCTCTTACTGAAGGCAGAATTTTTTTGAGAGGGATGTCAGACTTCTTAATTGTCTTCAAGCACAAGTTAGAAAAGACTGAAAAAGGCCAGACATGGCTGCTCATGCCTATAATCCTAGCACTTTGGGAGGCTGAGGTGAATGAATCACTTGAGCCCAGGAATTTGAGACCAGCCTGGGCAACATGGCAAAACCCTGCCTTTTGTATTTTTTTGTAAAAAATACAAAAAAAAAAAACACACAAAAAAAATAGTGGGATGTGGTGGCATGCACCTGTGGTCCCAGCTACTCAGGAGGCTGAGGCGGGAAGATCACTTGAATCCAGGAGGTGGAGGTTGCAGTGAGCAGAGGTTGTGCCATTGCTGCAGTCTAGCCTGGGTGATAGAGCGAGACTCTGTCTCAGAAAAGAAAAGAAAAAAACAACTGGAAGAGACTACTCTAGACTATATGTCTATAGCAATGACTGTAAACCGCTGACAGGTTCACTGAAAATCAGTTTTCAAAAGTCAAAAATGTATTTAGAAAAGCATCTCTCCAAATATGTAATATTTTATTTCCATGTTCATTTTACTCATATTGAAAATGACCACAGGCCAGGCGCGGTGGGGTTCACACCTGTAATCCCAGCACTTTGAGAGGCCTGGGAGGGTAGATCGCTTCAGGTCAGGAGTTTGAGACCAGCCTGGCCAACAAGGTGAAACCTTGTCTCCACTAAAAATATGAAAATTAGCCAGGTGTGGTGGTATGTGCCTGTAATTCCAGCTACCTGGGAAGCTGAGGCAGGAGAATCGCTTGAACCTGGGAGGTGGAGGTTGGGGTGAGCCAAGATCAGCTATTGTACTCCAGCCTGGACAACAAGAATGAGACTCTGTCTCAAAAAAAAGGAAAATGAACATAGAGAAGGAAGGGCTTAAATGACCATCGACAAATTAAAATACAGCTCTGGTGCTCACATAAGAGAGGAAATTAACTGGTGAAGTTGGGAAGAGGTGGGGAACTGATTTCAAAAGGTCATACTGGGATATCTCTTTGACCTCGAGTGGCTCAGCCTCCCAGCATGGGTGCTAGGCTGGGTGTGGTTCTCAGAGAAAAAAGTGAGAGTCTTTAAACTCCTCAGACATCCTTCCTCCAAGAGTCACAATCAGCTCTGAACTACAGGCTCCCAGTGGAAAAGCAGCCCCAGAGCCAGATGAGGCGACAGGGGTCTATCTTTTACCTGAGATTATAAGACTACCTGGAAAAGAGCCATAATCACTGTCAAAAACTGGTCACTGTGAGCCGTTAGCAATGAACACTTCTCTAGGTAACACTGTCTCCTCACGCCCTCCTGGTCACCTAGTTCTTACCAGGTACTTTACATACTTTATCTTACTGAATCTTTCCTCAGATCATCAGGGTAAATATTATAAAACCGACTGAAACTCAGGGAAGGAACGTATCCAAGGTTACACAGCTGGAAGAAGTAGCATTTATGTGGGGGTTTAAATGATAAATGCTACTACTCATTCAGGGACAAAACCAAAGTCATCCTGTAACATAACACGTTTTCAATCATTCGGCCAAAAAAAAAAAAAAAAAAAAAAAAAGGAAAAGAAAAGACTCCCTTGAACAACTGAATGAGTTACTTAAACAATGGTGAGTCAGTGTAAAGGAACATCCAACGTCCCTCCTCCAAGAGGGGTGACGACATCTTCATGAGTACATTCCCTTCTGCACAGTTCCAGTCCCTTCCAGCTGAGGGAGGCTCTCTCATGCCACCAGGGCGTGGGCTTATAAGGTGTCTCAGGCCTGATGGAGATGGCGAGAAAGGCTGGAAGCCAGCTGGCTTGGAGGTGGGAGCACAGAGAATCCTGTCCTCCTGTGGAAGGCAGCTCAGGGAGGAGCTGGGAGTGGGGCAGCAGGCAGGGGTGGGAATCACACACCCTTGGCACTGACTACTGGTCTACCTGAGCCTGCGTCTCTGAGTCTCCACACCTATGAAAGGGGCAAGGGGCAGTCATTCATGCCTACTATGGAGGGTTGTCATGAGTATTAAGTTCAGATAACGTACAAAAAGCACCCAATAAATGTTAGCTGTTATTACTATCAGATAATAACAACAAACACCAACATTACAGTGTCTCAATCATTCTCGTTGCTTGTAATGACTCCGGCATGAAAAGCTTCCAGCCACAGGCAGCTCCTATCCATCCTCCAGATACTGGCCTGTCTCTTCCTTGGGGAAATGTCTCTGATCACCCTGAAAAAGGAAGGTCATCGCACACTCTCATCGCACACTCTCATCACACCATGTGCCAGCTCCCTTGGTAGTGCTGTACCACATGATGTGCCTCTGTGTTTATGGTCCTTCCCCACTTAGACTGTAAGCTCCATAGGGCAGGGTCTGTGCCAGCTTTGCACATATTCCCGATTATCTCTCACTGCCTGGCACATAAAAGGTTCTTACTAAATGCTTCTTGAATAAATGAAGCAAAACGGAATTTGTAAAGCTTCTCACCTAGAGAATCTCTGTTCTAGCTAAAATACTTTTAAAGCAATTGTGGAAAAGTTACTTGCTCTGACATTGACAGGTTCATAATCTAAAGCTTTCTCTCTCTCTTTTTTGTCCCAGTCACTTTGAAAAATCAAGGAAATTTTTCTTTCAGACATGGCTTTCAACTAATAAAGTGGTGCTATAATGACTCCATAGAGGAAATGTACTTGGGACTGTCACAAAGCTTTATGAGTGGAAACTCACTCTCCTTTTTTTTGGCTGCTCTAACTTGTTGTGAACATCTCATCAGAATCGATTTGATAGAAGGAAACCTTAACAATGTTACCTGAAAAATAACAATTTTCAATAATGGCATTTTCAGAAGCGTGGACAGGAACAGTAGTGAGTGAGCCAGAGTGACTCAGAGCTGCTGATAAAGCCCCAGGCCACATCCCGCTTGGCCCTGCTGATGCCAACATGCTACTGAAGACCAGACAGGATGACATGTGCTTGTCCTCCAAATTCTGGAAAGGGCCATCAGGTCTGATCACCACAGACACCCTGGGCTACACCCTTAAGTCTTGCTGCCCTAAAGAGTTACTAGTAACTTTCTGGAATGTGGGGAACATAGAGAGGCTGGGCGAGGTGGCTTACGCCTGTAATCCCAGCACTTTGAGAGGCGGAGGCAGGCAGATCAACTGAGGTCAGGAGTTTGAGACCAGCCTGGTCAACATGGTGAAACCCCATCTCTATTAAAAATATAAAATTAGCCGGGTGTGGTGGTATGTGCCTGTAATCCCAGCATCTTGGGAGGCTGAGACAGGAGAATCACTTGAACCCGGGAGGCAGAGGTTGCAGTGAGCTGAGATTGCGTCACTGCACTCCAGCCTTGGGTGACAGAGCAAGACTCTGTCTCAAAGGAAAAAAAAGAGAATATGGTGGCATTGAGAGGAAAATACCGATGTCATCTAGGCAAGTCCGCTTTATATGAGTTCCATGGCTCCAGCAGGCATGTCAACCTCCCCTTAAATGCTGCTGGGGGTGGAGGGCCACCCAGACGTCCTAGCAAACACATATTTCATTCTGGAGCAATTTGCAAAGCTGAGCAATGCTTTCTAAGTTTCTCCCTGTAATTTAAGCCCTTTGAGGGTCCTTACTCTACTCTCCAGAGTGGCTGGGGAATGTTTGGCCAAGGAGGCAGCTTTCAGGAATTTGTTAGCCTGGTTGAGTAGGGAAGGAATTTTTTTTGATCTGGGGTAAATACCTCCACTATGATTTTGGACTGAGGGGGTCTAGAAAGAGGGGGACACAGGTTTTTCAAGCCAAGAGATCTGCTTACAAAGATGCATCTAGCACCACATAATTAATAATAAATAGCAGCTAAGGCCTGGCTGCTCCGTATGTGCCAGGTGCTGTTCTAGAAGCATTATGTGTATTGACTAGTTCAATCCTTCCTATAACCCTGTGATGCACGATGCTAGTATTATACCTATTTTATGAATGAGTTACTTAAGGAGCAGAGCAGTTGAGTAAATTGTTCAAGTTCATAGACTAGCAAGTGGTGAACCTGGGATTCAAATCTAGCCAGGGGCTGAGGCCAGTCCCCTTTCTATTACATAATATGGCCCCACACAATAGCAGGGTCCTGGTGCCCACTGTCCTGCTGCCCACAGCCCTGGTCTTGACGCAAAGACCCTGACCTGTTTCATGTCCAACATTCTGTCTTGCTCCTCATCCACCAGGACTTATTTTCTCTATTAGGATTTGTCCCCCAACCCCAATTCCAGACCCTCTACAGCCTTTGCTTCCCATCTTAACTGTGATTGATCATTTCTTACGCTGTTTCTGACTTCTCTGGATAGCAAATACACAGATCACATCATGGATATCAAGTAAATACAGTAAGTTCTACTTCTTACTCATCTCACTCCTGCTTTTCTACCAAGAATCCTAGAAGTTTCCGGAACATGAAAAGGTAGTGCTGACATGCTGGGAGCTTTGCTTAAAGTCATTGTGAAAACGATCTCCATTGCATTTTTGTCTAGCTGGCAAGCACGCCCACCAGCGCGATGCTATGAAGACTCACTGAAGATTTAATACAATGCTCAGTAAGGGCTGACTGCTCTGGGCAGCTTTTCTATAAAAGCCATTTGCACCAGTCCCGAGAGAAGTAAGTAGTCATGGGATAGAGCACACCAACACCAGAGACATCGAAAGACATTCTGACATTTTAAGGTTAAGAGCAAGCTCTTATGTGACAAGCACCATGAGGCAGGCTGCTCTAAGTTCCTGACTGGGACTGTCTGGAACCTGCAGCGGTACCTTCACTCCGTCCAGTACAGCCTTGATGACCCCCTTCACAGTCGTCACCATCTCCTTGTCTTCTGAGTTCACACCTTCCAGCATCACTTGGTCAGACCAGCGAATGAGGTTGGCGAGACTTTGGTACACTCGGCTATAGCAGGAAGAGAGGGCTGAGCTACAGGGAAGAGAAGAATGGAAAACAAATCTAAAGCATGACCATCACTTAGCACAGAACCAGCTTCTCGGTGACTAGGGTGTGTTTCTCTGTCTTTCTTTTTGCAAAATCCATACCGCCTTTTAATAAGCAAATTTCTCCCATGAGCCTTTTTCCTTATATCCAACAAAGATTTTGTGGAGCTTTATATTCTAATCTGCATTACAAAATTTGTTTCATTTCCCAAATACAACCTTACAAAAATTCTACCACGATAGTTAAGATGCTTTTTCAAACTTCACATCCTACTGCAGGATTCTGTTCACATCTCTCAAGGAGTGCCCCATCTTCCCCTCCTTCTAGCTGCTAATCACTAGACTAGGTCCAAGCAGTACAGACTTATTGTTAAGAATTAGAATAAAATCTATTTCAGATGTGCCACAAGGAGCCAACAGGTTTGTGGAATTTTAACAGTCATGAGCTCAAACAGGTCTGTAGTTTATTAGAATTCCTCTGTCACAAGCCCAGCTTCATCATCCTCTGCACTATAACCATGAAACCTCAGGAGCGCATGAATAAAGACTATTTTGAGAATAGCAAATCAGGGGCAAGGGGACCTGTAATAGAGGTGGGGACATGAGGGTGGGAACGCAGGTGGGTGTGTTTGTGTGTGTGTGGCACCACACTACCAGCTACACTGTGATGTCAGCACCCACAAACAGAAGCCCCGAGTGCCTCAATGATTGCACAGTAGCAGCTAAATGGAGAATTTCTACATCTTCCACGTTTTTTTTTTTTTTTTTTGAGACCGAGTTTCGCTCTTGTTACCCAGGCTGGAGTGCAATGGCGTAATCTCGGCTCACCGCAACCTCCGCCTCCACCTCCTGGGTTCAGGCAATTCTCCTGCCTCAGCCTCCTGAGTAGCTGAAATTACAGGCACGTGCCACCGTGCCCAGCTAATTTTTTGTATTTTTAGTGGAGACGGGGTTTCACCATGTTGACCAGGATGGTCTCAATCTCTCGTGATCCACCCGCCTTGGCCTCCCAAAGTTCCACGTGTTTTTAAATAACTAAAGATAATTTTCCCTAGGAATTATGGAAAGGATTATTTTTCCATTTCAAACATTATGCAGTATAATAGGTGAAGAACAAAAATATAGAAAATTTATGTGCTGCACTCTCCTCTACTCCAAAAAAACCCCCAAAACCCCAAAATGATGCAGACATTTAGGAGCCAAAGATACAGCTTTGAGGAAAATATATACTATTGTATGGTGCGATTAAAACAGGTTCTAAAAACAAAGCCATTGAAAACAAAAACATGAAGCAAATAGTGCTTTAATGAGAAGCTCTTCAGAATCAGGCAAGGAGGAAAGAATTTTTGCAGGGGGTCTAAAGCTTCCATTTAGCCAGGCGTTCCACTCTGCATGTTCCAACAGGAGAAAAGCGTCGGCAGGAATGAAAGCAAGCTTCTCAAGTCCCATCAGAAACAAACAGCATTCCCAAAGGAGCCCTGAGAAAGCCAGGATAGGGCTGTTTCAGGAGAAATACAGGTGAAAAGCATTTGTTGTTGGAACTCTTCTCTTAGGAAAGAGGATGGAGGGGGAAAACAAAGCCTGCAGTCTCTCCTGGGGTTGGACCAGGGCTGACCTCATCCTGCAGGGGAATGTGCATCTACAGCTGGACCTCGCTCTGCTTCCTGCAAGGCCAGGTGAGGCCTCTTGAAAGAAGCTTGCTGCCTTCCCCTGATGTGCTGTTGGAGGAGTCCACTGAAGAAAGCATCTCACTGTTACAGGGCTGGCAACAGTGGGGTGAAAGCAGGGAAACACTGTCATTCACTACTTCCTTCCTACCTGTACTGGATGCTAATGTTTCCCTGAAGGTGCTGGAATTATGACCAGCCTTCCCGTCATTAGCTTAGAAGCAGAATATTTCTGTGTTAAGGGGCTAAGACATAAGCTGCTTGTCTGAGGTCAGCTTATCACTGTCCCAGGAACCCAGGTTAGGGCAGCAAAGGGCCTGCTTGCGAGGGCCCGCCCCGCCTAAGAAACAGGAAGGGACCTTCCAGCTCACAAACTGCACTTAGGGAGGAAAGAGAGAATGCAAAACATTTAAAAGGAGCATCTGAGGAGTTCTTTCCAATCAGTGCAGGAGATCAAAACACTACCACCGCTAGCCTGGAAGAATATCAGAAAGAAAACCCCTTCAGTGGGATTAAAGGACTACCAGAAAACAAACCATATTTCACAGGTCCTTACAGCCACACCCAGGCACTTCCCATTTTCTCCTCTAGGAAACAGTTATAGACATTCAGTGTCACTTAAGAGCCACCCCTCAACAGACAAAAAAATACCCTGCCATTATCATGTGACTTGACCAATTCTCACCCAGGGTTTGCAGGTGATCCTCAAGCAGAGCCCTGGCTCCGGGAAGCAACACTCCTAGCAGCAACATACTCTGGGTGTGAGGGTCCAGGGGACACTATTCTGGACTCTTCCAAAGAGGCTCAGTGCCTGAGGGTGCAGGGTGAAGTGATCAGTCCCCTCTTCCCACTGTTCCCCGTCTCATCCATGCTCTAGGACGTTTGCCCTCTGCCCATGACTGCCTGAGGGCTGCCCTCCCCTCCCTGGGACACACCAGGCCCAGTGGCCTCAGTTCCTTTGCTCTTGTTCTCCTGCCTCCACTGCCAATCCAATTACTGCCTTTCCCTTAGGTCGGGCTCCAGTAACTCCTCATCCAGGAGGTTTCATCAGACCAACTCCAACACCCGTTAACTCTCCCTTCTTCAAATTCCAACAGAGCTTCCTCTCTGTACCATAAAATAAGTGCTTTATCATAGAACAGAGGGAGCTGATTTGTTTCAACTAGGCTTTAACTCTTCCAAGGTAGAGACCACCACCTGAAACTAGGTCCACAAGAACATTTTCTACAAGGCCACCTACATATCTGACCGTGGCAGGATGTCAGGCACATTTGCTCCCAGGAGCCCAGCACTGAACCCTTCAATGAGCTGGCACTGGACTGACTCTGGGAAAGACAGAGTGAAGAAGGCATGCCCTGCTCCATCTCCCTCACCAACCAGCACCAGCGAGCTTCTGGCCAGAAGGCCACAATCTCCATGGGTCAGCTGAAGCTACAGGGTAGAAGCCCCAGGGCAGAGAGTTTCTTGTAAATAAAGACACTATTTGCTTTATCCCCCAGAAGAAGAAAACTATGAACTTCATTGCCAAGTTCTGAAAGCAGTTCATGAAAGCTTAGCCTCATGGAGCTAAATGAACACTAAGTCATCTTGGGGAATTGCGACAGAGAAGCATTTATCCTTAACAGGTACCATGGAAGAAAAACAAAAAATACGCCAGCCTCTTCCGAAAAAGCTCCTGCTAGGCTTTCATTTAAGATTACATTTGGTACTGCTTTTCTTTTTGTATTTAACAATAAACACAGGACAAGCTGCTAGCTAACCTTTAAGAGGAAAGTGCACTCCACCAATAAAAGCGTTCGTTACCCAACAAAAGCTTCTTGGGGCAAAGGCTGGCTCCATGTCCCCTGCAGGGAGTGCTTGTAATTTTATGTTGCCTCAGCATCTGTTTTAAAATATGTTTAGCTTTCTCATACCAGAAGTAGGGCACACAAATCCTCAGTAAGGTTTCTAATACTACATCCCACCCAACTGGCTCTAGCTGGTAGCCAGAGACAGAAACGTACAGGCCTTTCTCCCCCCAATAGGCTGGCTCCTGGCTTACCTACTGCTTTTTCAAACCGACCAATTGCCTGAGAACTTCAAGTAACCACCTCTTAGTCACAGGCCTAGCCTCTTGAACTCGTGCCTGATTGCTTTAAACCCACCAATTAAAGCACCCTGCAGGAGGCTTGTTTGGATAAGGCCAGCTTGGACCCAATAAAACCAGTTACGGCACTGGTCCATAGGGTCCCTTCTCTCTCTCCCAGCTTGTGCTTCCTCACCTGTGTGTGTGGCCTCCAGGCTGCTGTGTAATCCCCGAGGTCTAAGGTACTAAAAAAAACTCTTTAATTTTTCAGCCTGTAATCTGGCCCCTGACAGTGAAGCCTGTGAAGAGGCTCATACAGGTGGAGGCCCTGCTGCTGCTCTTTAGTCCAGGCCTCTGGTGATGACTGGAAACAGTAGCTTCCGGTTTATAGATAACGAAACTCAAAAGAGTTTCATTCCAAACAGGCTCCTGCCACACCCAGTGAATGCAGGCTCCGTGTTTGGGAGGTGTCCTGGCTTGACACAGTTAAGTGCTGCGCTGCCCACGCTCTAACAGAGACTTCCCTACCTACCTCTCTTGACCTAATCATCTAAGCAGCTGGACACTGATAGGATCCAGTGGACATGTTAGGTGACCCAGGGGCATCAGGAGAAATGTATCCAAACCAATGTGATTACTGCCAATGAGCTAAAGCAAAGAAATGACCACAAACTTACACTGTGGCCACATCCCTAGGGATGGCAGAGATGTGTCCTGGGTTTCAGGATTAACAGTGACTTCAATTTTGGGATGGCATCGAGGGAGAGCTGTGGGGGGACTGGTCGAGGGAAGGAGGAGGGGTAATGGAGTCCTTTTACTGACTGTTCCTAGAAACCTTGAGTTTTCAGTGCCCCCAAACCAAGATGCCTCTAAGGCTTCCATTGCTGACACAGCCAAGGACTTCAGAGCCACTCACCTGTGCTGAATTCGAGGGTCGCTCTGCACCAGGGGTAAGATGGCCTCCAGCACCTTGCTGGCTGACCCTGGAAGCATCTCCAGTACCTTCTTATCAATTGCCATTTTGTCCACAATGGTCTTAAAGTAGCGCAGGGCACTGACAACTTCCTTCTCTTTCTCCTCCAGCCAGCTCAGGTTCTGAAAGGAGATGTCAAGCATAAGGAGGAAGAGAGAGATGAAAGGGAGCCATTTTGAAAAAATAAAGGAACACTTTCTTTAAACCAGACTGAGCTAGAGGGGAATAGAAAGGCTCTTGCTATAGAAACCAAGCCAAATCATTTTTCTAAGGACTGTAATCAGGAGACAGAGGCTAGAGCTGAAGGAAGAAGAAGGGGGCTTGGACCAAGAAAGGTCATTCAGAAATTTCTCGATTCCCTTTCCGGACCTGGAGGTCTTAGAAACCACTTCTCCCGTCTGTCCTCATCAGCTACACAGACATACCACCACTAACCCCGTTAAGTAGAATGAAGACTAATTTGCTGATGACTTGGAGAAGCAGCAGTCAAGGCCCATGGTCCCTCTGGATCCTGTAAATCACATCCAGGCTTTTGTTTTGAAGATCTGAGGGACTGTGTAAGACCGGTCCGGGGCCTGAGGGGCCAAAACCCATTCCCTTGGGACTCCTCACTAGGTTCCCAGATTGTTTACCCCCCTGAAGCCCCCACTCAAGGAAATGATATGCTACTCATAAAGGGCCTGGAAGCTCCCAGGGCTAGAAGGGGCAGGAAACTTGGGGAGACAAGGGGGAAAAGCCAGAGCAGATGACAGTGATTCTCAAGATTCAATCACTACTCATGCAGTGGGTGCTAAAAGCGCTCATGGGCCCTCTGTTCCTGAGAGAAAGGAAATACAGAGCCCTGCACTTTCCAGTGTTGAAGCCACAGCCCCCGGCTTTTCTCCCTGACTACGGGAGGCGGTGGACCCAGTTGGCGGGTCTATACACCCCTTTTGTTCTTCTCTCCAGTTTCCCCTTGACTTGCCCTGATGTCAGTGATCCTGGTCTCAGCTGGCTGGCAGGAGGAGGAGGCTCAGAGTAATCCACAGAAATGGAGTCTCTGAACTGTTCTGGTTTGGGAGGCTGTCCTTTAAAAAAAAAAAAAAAAAAAAAGAGTAGTGTACGGAATGGATAAATCCCCAAATGGACAATGTACTCAAGCAGTCGATTACATGTCCAGGGCAAATTAGGAGGGGTGTGTATGAGGCAAATAGCCACCTGCAGGCTCTCAGAGGTCCAAAGGATGTAAATAGAAACAACTGAGGGCAAGAAGATCATTTCTAGAAAAAGGTGATTTAAACAATATGCATATACAAACAAATGGTAGAAATTAATAAAAAGTGCTTGTGGTTCTGAACACTAGCTCTTTTCTTCCAAAATATAGCAGGTTGGCCAGGTGCGGAGGCTCACACCTATAATTCCAGCACTTTGGGAGGCCAAAGTGGGTGGATCACTTGAGCCCAGGAGTCAAGACCAGCCTGGGCAAGATACTGAGACCCTGTCTCAACTAAAAAAAATAAAATAAAGTTTTAAAAGTGCAGAATATCATTTTAAATATAATAAAAGTTCAACAGTAGAGGCTTTTATTTCATGGGAGTATCAAAAGAAAAATATATAAATGGATGGTATCACCAAGTAAGTAGCTACTTTAGTCAGTGTGCAAAAGACCCAGGCATTTTTTTCACTGGGTCTTTCCCAGAAGGTGTCCTACACACCAGAAGATACAATTCTCCGGTGGTGGGGGAAGTGCCCCTTCCTCACCCCTATCCCTGGGTCCTGCACCCTGGCTTTCTTTCTCTTGTCACTACTTGACAGATTTGTTTATGTCTGTTTCCAAGAGGCTGGGTACTTGCTTCTCCACTTCATGGTCAAGAGCTCTCTGCTTCATGTCCCCTGCCTGGGGCAGGGAGGAACCTGAGTATGAAGGAGTTTGTGGTGCCAACAGATCAGATGTAGATCAGATGTGCCTAAAGCCACAGTTAGCCAGGCAAGAAGCGGCTACGGCAGTAACACTGCTGCCTTAGCACAGCAGAAAGTGTTGGAGGCCAGCAATGATAAAATTTGGTGAGGAAGAGGAAACATTTGAAGAAAATGTGTCATCAGGTTTGCTGGGGAGAAAGTGGCTAATCTGAAGATGGGAGGCACAGCCAGCCTGCCTTCATTAACTGAGATTCCACTCCCAGAGTTAATGGCCTCTGGGTGTTGTGCATTCTCCAGCCCTTCAGCTGTCAAACTAGGCTCCTTGTGAATGCAGCAAGCAGACAGAGTTCACAGCTACACACCCACACCCAGCACTGGTTCAGAGTGGGGACTCCATATTTGGCTTTGCTGAAACTGTCTCGTTGCATAACCTGAGGGCAGGTGTGTTCATCACCTGTGCACCCATCCTGCTCTGGGGGATGGGTTGCCATCATTGGTCCACATAAGCCTGGTTACTAAATGTGGCTGTCTGTGTCTGGGGATGGCTTAGATACAAGGCCAACTGCTAGGCTTTGGGCTTGTCACCCACAAAATGGGGAGAATAACATCTTCCCTGTGTAACTGAAGAGGTAACTGGGGGAGACTGAATGAGAATGCATATGGGAGTAGTTCACAACATTTAACAGGCACTAGCACAACGCCGGAGACCACATACCTGCCAATAACAAAACAAAGAAAGAGGACCTAGGATGAAAACATCTGAAAGGGGAGAAAAGCCAGATCACAGCTGTCACTCACTGGGGACATCGAGACACCCACTGTGCTAGGTATTTTATGTAGGCTGTTTTGTTTAAAGGTTACAACCATCCTGTTAAGTGGATACTATTATTTCACAGGTGGGGAAACTGAGGCTTGGCAGGATGTGGGGGAGGTTAAGCAACTTGCCCAAGGCCACACAGCGGTAGGGACAGAAATGGAATTTGAACTTGGTTTATCTGAGTCCAGAGCCTGGAGAGACGGAGAGGAGAAGAAAGAAAGACCAGATCAGAAATGTGCTGAAATAAAAAAGTTTACTTGAGATCCCCTGGTCTAAAGATCTCATTTAACATACGAGTAAAATAAGACCCAGATGGCAGAGGTGGGCAGAAAACCCCCATTGCCTTTTCTGCCCGTGGGCCTTGCTCATTCTGATGCCCAGGCTGTGACTCCACAGCCATGTGCTGCCACAGAAGATGGGGTAGAGGATGATGAAAAGTGGCTCTCCTCTCCGGATACTTCTTGCCCCACAGCCGAGCAGCGTCTGGGGCACCCCATCTTGCCCTGTGACTCCTTGTCCCATCTGCAGCCCTGATGCCACCCTTCTCCGTAGTAATGCAAGCCTCATTTTCACACTATAGGACAGTGTACCATGAAAATTTGGGTTAAGCTGGGGAGTGAGTGGGAGGGCAACTCACAATCAGTAAAATAAAAAACTATAATTGCAGTATTAAAAAAAAAATGGCAATGCAACATTATTCCTCTCCATTAGACCAGAACAATGAGGCCTAGTAAGAAGAGAACTCCAAATCACTAGCTGCCACCAGGCTGTCTGGCAGCATCTCCCTGCTTCTCTTTCATCCTAAGATCTGAAGAGCTGAAAGAGAAAGGCTTTCAGGAATCCACTCAAGAGCCCTTGGATCCAACCTCTGTCCAAATGCCCTCAGAGATGGGGCAGTGACACGTCCCAGGACCCCCTGCTCGCTACTAATTGTAATTATACCTTTGGACTCCCAGTATGTGGCTAAATTTTCTCCACCACTTTAATACTGCAACACACTGCTAGATTTGTTAAAAGGTTGCAAAAGAGTAAAGTTCATTGCAATGTACTTTGAATTTTTAAATTCACTAAGAAGATGCAAGAGACTGCTAATATGGAATCAGTCTGGTAATAGAACAGAATATAGTGAGAAAAACAGATTTTGATTAAGAAAATGTACACCAGTGCCAACACTGTCTGCACAGTGGGAATAATGAAAGCTTCCCCACGCAGTTATTGTGAGGAGTAAGTAAGACAGCATGTGTGAAACCACCCAGGACAGGGCTGGGGCTAGGAGGACCCCTCAGGAAGTGGTAGAGAATCTGAATCTGTACTTTCATCTCCTGGCACTTCTATGTCCCTCATATTTGAGCAGGGAAAGCCAGGCATATGACCTGAAGTAAAATAAGAATGGATGTGGTCATTCCCTAAGTGGTAAGCGAGCTAATGAATAATAAACGAGGGCAGCAGATGACAGACCCACGGCAAGGTTTCTTGGACATAATCCTCTAAGTCCACATGTTCTGGTAGGTTTCTCAATGCTTCTGGTTCTGTCCATGGGCCTCCATGAAGCAACAGGTTTGCATTTACTTGTCCCATGCAGGTGGCTTGGGACAGAGCAGAGTCAATGGCAATGGGCAATGACTAAAAAGGGGTAACGTTCCTCCTTGGGTGAAGATCACACCTACAGCTCCTTGCTACAGAATAGGTTTCTCAGCCTTGGCACTACTGACATTTTGGGGCAGAGAATTCTTTGTTGTGGGGAAGCTGTCCTGTGTATTGTAGGATGTTTAGCAGCCTCCCAACCCCTACCCACTAGAAGCCAATGACATCTGCTTTGCCTTCCTATGGCAACAACCAAAAATATCTCCAAACATTGCCAAATGGCCCCTGGGGTTTATAGGCACCCCACTAAATAAGGGGTACTTTAGCACTGAATTTTTATCCATGACCTCTCTTTGAAAAATAAATAAAGAGAAAATCCCGGCTGGGTGCGGTGGCTCATGCCTGTAACCCCAGCACTTTGAGAGGATGAGACAGGCAGATCACTTGAGGTCAGGAGTTTGAGACCAGTCTGTTCAACATGGCAAAACCCTGTCTGTACTAAAAATGCAAAAATTAGCTGGGCGTGGTGGTGGGTGCCTGTAGTCCCAGCTACTCAGGAGGCTGAGGCGGGAGAATTGCTTGAGCCTGGCAGGCAGAGGTTGCAGTGAGCTGAGATTGCACCACTGCTCTCTAGTCTGGGCGACAGAGTGAGACTCTGTCTCAAAATAAACAAACAAAAAAAACCCCACAAAAGGCAGGGGGATCCCAAGAATTGAGTGGCTGAACAGTTTCATATCAGAGTTCACTAGCAGAACAAAGTTGTTAGTAAATCATTTTACTCTAAACTGCCTGGACTAGTGTTGGATGACAATTACACTCTCCTTGTAGTTAATACTCAACTCAGCTATAAGAGGTTAGTAAACAGATTGTAATAAAAAATAACTGTGGCACAGACCAGATCTACTGTATTACTCTTCTTCAATCTGAAATTTAGATCAATCTGGCAAACACTGACTATTCCCCTCTTGCTTGTCAGCCACCTTTTGTTAAAAGAGGGGGCAAGAAAAGCTATTTTTGAAAAAAAGACTTTTGGATTTAAACCTTTATTTTCCTCCACTTTTAACTAAAATTGTAAGATATTATGCTGGTCAACATAAAAATCAAAAATTGTTGAATTGCAAAATTCAAGAATTATGTATTTAAATAACAGACTAGTGTTTACCAGCTGCATCAAATCGATGGCTGTGATGATAGTTCTGCTACATATAAATTATACTTCAGATATCACTAAAGAATTAAGAATATCTGTCTACAAGGTTTGTTTTAGTACATTGCTAAGTTTATTTTTGCTTTATTTATTAATTTTTTGGAGACAGAGTCTCACTCTGTTATCCAGGCTGGAGGGCAGTGGCGCAATCTTGGCTCACTGAAACCTCCACCTCCCGAGTTCAAGTGATTCTCCTGCCTCAGCCTCCCGAGTAGCTGGGACTACAGGCACCTGCCACCATGCCCGGGTAATTTTTTTTTTTTTTTTTTTTTTTTGTATTTTTAGTAGAGATGGAGTTTCGCCATGTTGGCCAGGCTGGTCTCGAGCTCCTGACCTCAGGTGATCCACCCGCCTTGGCCTAGTTTTATTTTTATGTAATGAGTTGGGATTAATAATTAAATTTGTGAGATATTAAAAATTCTGTCTTTCATAAGGAGGAAATGTGGCATCTCGAGAATTCAGACTCTGACACTGGATAGCCTGCATTCAAATCTTGACTTCACCACCTTTTTGCTGTGTGACTTTGGATAAATGCTTAATATTTCTATAAATCCAGTTTCTTTTTTGGCAAAATAAGATTTCACATGTCAGGGTTGCTATGAAGATAAGTCAGAAGACATGTGTAAAGCACTCAGCACTGGGCCAAGAAAAGGCTCAATAAATATTAGGGACACAGGTGTCCGTGGCTCTGAGGGCACTTGGTTATGTGGCAGTCTCACTGCACTCCACCAGCCTTGCGAGATGGCTAAGAAAGCACTCTAAGGCTTCAGAAGCCTTTCCCCTTCTAAACTATTCAGATCATCTTAGCAATTCAAGGAACAGCTGGTCCTGAGATAAGACTTGCCCACATCCCCCAGAACCCGTTGGACCCAAGCAGCACACCCAAACCAATCCCAGAAAGAATCCCTGAGCTTTTGCCACAAAGCTCCCTCCAAAGATCATGGGACCTTGCATAAACTCTCGCTTTTATCCAAGGTCCCTTGGATTTTTTCCTAAACAGTAGCCCACAGTCACCACCCAGTTGAACATAATAATAGTGCAATAGATTTTTTTTTCCATCCCCAAAACCATGGACCAGGATTCTGCAGTAGAAGGCAAGGCAAACCCAATTGTGCTTAATGTTACACTGACCTTCTGCCTTTGAGACCTGGAAGCCACAGCACTGGTGGACATAAATTCTACTGCCTGCTGCTCCAGATCCAAGGGGAGAGGGTAGCCCTCTGGTAGAAATCTGTCTGTTGCCTCCTGGAAGAGAGGAAACCTGGATTCCTACAGAGCTTGAAATGGCTGTTGGAGGCTGAAGGGAGGGGTTGATGAAAATCAATAGCTGTTTCAACATATCTGGCTCGACTGGCCCTGCTGAGGCCACTAACTCTTGAGGACATCTTTGGCTGGGTCTCAAGGGGTTTGCACATTTCAGAACACAGGCCCTAAAGCTGAATGATGAATGTTCTGGACATCACAAAGTTCCCTGTGCTTGAGTGTGCACCAAGGCAACATAGGGAACTGCAGAGCAGGGAAGCAGCAGCCTAGGGTGTGAACATGATGTGCTGAGCTGTTGTAAATGCCCAGAGGATGACACAGCTGGAAAAGGAGAACTGTCCTAGCCAACTGAGCTTGGCTGACTAATATGGCAAGCACTCACCATCCTAATGGTTCTTATTTTACAAGGACACCAAAGGTCCTGCCCATGGAACGATACAAAGTAGGTATGATGCACTGAAAGCTGAATCCCCAGGGAGGGAACATACAAATCACACAAACTCACACTGCTCGAAGCAGGTGAGGCCAGGAGAACACCTAGTGAGAGTCAGCTTACTTTGTTCACAGGCTTCTCTGGAATCTTAACGGACACCTCAGCTGGTTTTCCCTTCTTCGATGGTGTTCTCTTGATTTTGGGTGAGTGGAATTTGTCCATCAGCTTCATGGTGAAGGAAGAGAGATGAGAACGCTGAGAGTCTGAAAACAAAAAGGGTACTGACTGTTAGATAGGAGTGGGAAGAAGCTACGGTTCGTGGACCTTTTTTTTTTTTTTTTTTTTTTTGAGATGAAGTCTCACTCTGTTGCCAGGCTGGAGTGCAGTGGCGTGATCTCAGCTCACTGCAACCTCTGCCTCTCGGGTTCAAGTGATTTCCTGCCTCAGCCTCCTGAGTAGCTGGGACTACAGGCACGCGCCACCACGTCCAGCTAATTTTTGTACTTTTAGTAGAGACTGGGTTTCACCATGTTGTTCAGGATGGTCTTGATCTCCTGATCTCGTGATCTGCCCACCTCAGCCTCCTAAAAGTGCTGGATTACAGGTGTGAGCCACCGCGCACGGCCCATTGACCATTTGTGGAAATGAGCAATGTCCCCAAACCCATTTTTTTTCTTGGCTGTTCAGAGTTTCAAAGGAAGGGACATATGGATCCATTACAAAACATTTCTGCTTATATGCTTCAAGTTTTGCAATTTTCAGCAAGGTCAGGTTGCTGAGAATAGTGGAAATCAAAGGCAGTCCAAATAAATATGGAAAGAAAACTTGCAAATATTCCCAAGCATCCTTACAGAGTTTGTATGATGGTCTAACCAACATTCAAGGGAGCTGGCTAAGAAGAAAGAACACCCAGTCAAATCATAGTTGTGCAGGATGTGAGAACTGGAAAGGAAACACCCTCCCCTTTTTTTTTGAGATGGAGTTTTGCTCTTATTGCCCAGGCTGGAGTGCAATGGCACATTCTTGGCTTACCGCAACCTGCGAGGAAGGCCCTTTTGGATCAACCTCTTCATTCTTTAATTTAGGAAACTGCAAGAAGTGACATGTGTAAGGCTCCAGAGTTGGCCGTGGTGACTGAACTAGAAGTAAGGTGTTTAAAACCCTCTGGGCTGTGGCAAAAGACTGAATGACTTGCCCCAAAGATCAGGAATTAAGACCAGGACATCTGTTCTCGCCACTCCTATTTGACATTGAACTGGATCAGACCTAGTAAGAGAGTTAAAACTGTAAACCTCTCTCAAAAAAAAAACAGGAGTTTTGTGACCTTGAATTTGACTATGTTTTCTTAGATACAAAACCAAAAGCACAAGTGACAAAATAAAAAATAGAAAGTTGAACTTCATCAAATTAACAACTTTTGAACTGCAAATACTACTACTAAAAAGGAGAACAAATCCACAGGATGCAAGAAAATACAGCCATGCGTTGCTCAAGGACAAGAATAAGTTCTAAGAAATGCATCATTAGGCAGGTTGGTTGTACAAACATCACAGAGACTCAAATGAACCTAGATGGGATAGCCTACTACACACTAGGCTATATGGCATAGCCCACTACTCGTGGGCTACACACCTGTACAGTATGGTACTGTACTAAGTACTGCGGGCAACTGTGATACAATGGTAAGTATTTGTGTATCCAACCATATCAAAATGTAGAAAAGGTACAGTAAAAATATGGTATAAAAGATAGAAATTCCACCTGTGAAGGGCACTATCATGAATGGAGGCTGCAGGTCTAGAAGCTGCTCTGAGCGAATCAGCGAGTGAAAGTGAAGGTCTAGGACACCACTCTACACCAAGGTAAACTCCATAACTATGGCACGTTTCACCTATACTCAATGGATTTTTAAATTTTTCTTTATTACTAAGTTAACCTTAGCTTACTGTAACTTTTTTACTTTATAAACTTTTAATTTTTAAAAAACATTTTTATTCTTTTGTAATAGCTTAAAATATACACACATACTACAGTTTAAAATATACACACATACTACAGAAATAAAATATTTTTCATTTCTTTTTTTGAGAGAGGGTGTCACTCTATTGCTAAGACTAGAGTGCAGTCGTGTGATCACAGCTCACTATAGCCTTGAATTCCTGGGCTCAGGCATCTTCCTGCCTCAGCCTGAGTAGCTAGGACTATATGCAAGTGCCACAATGCCTGGCTCATTTTTAGACTTTTTGTAGCAATAAGGTTTCACTACATTGTCCAGGTTGGCAAAAATATTTTCTTTCTTTATGTCCTTATTCTTTAAGCATTTTTCTATTTTAAAAATTATCTTTTTACTTTTAAAGCTTTTCATTAAAGATGAAGACAGAAGACGTTAATCAGCCTAGGTCTACAGGGGCAGGATCATCAGTATCACCGTCTTCCACCTCCCTATCTGTCCCACTGGAAAGTCTTCAGGGCAGTAACATACAAGAAGCTGTCATCTCCCGTAATAACAATGCCTTCTTTCATAACACCTCCTAAAGGGCCTGCCCGAGGCTGTTGTACAGTAACTTTTTTGTTTTTATTTGTCTCAAATAATGACAAAAAGGCGGGAGGACTGCTTGAGCCCAGGAGTTAGAGGCTACAGTGAGCACTGCACTCCAGCCTGGGCAACAGAGTGAGACCCGGTCTCAAAAAAAAAAAGGAGGCGGGGGGCGGGGGTGGGCAAGTTCCCTGAGGATGGTACCTTTCTTGTTCACGTCTGTTTTCCCAGTGCTGACATGGTAGCTGGCCCATAGAAGATAATCGGTAAACACATATTCAACAAATGAACAAATCAACCAACAACAAAAACATCCATGAAGAAGACGGCTTATTTCTGTAACAGCAGAAAATACTTGAAATTGGCAGAAAATTAAGGACTAAAACACTGTCCTACACAATGGAAAAATAAATACCTGGAGTTTTAAAAATAAAAAGCACTCCCTCTGTCAAATTTTTTTCAGCAATTTAGTAGAACAAAATTAAACAAAACAAAGCAAAACAACCCTCAGAATAAATTGCATAGCACCTCGTACTACAGGGCTCTCACTGTGTCTACTATTGTTGCACATGACTTAACAAGGCCAAAGTACAATTCCTTAATTAAAGACTTTCCAGGTGGCCAGGTAGGATCAAATAAACTATCTACCCTTTCCAAATTACCTAGGCACCCACTGCATTCTGCACCAGAGAGAAAGCCAGGGCCTGACCCGCATTCACATGTGGTCAAACCAAACAGCTTCACAGCTGTGTGCTGGGCAGAGCTGCAAAAAGCCTGTCTTAGTCCCCAAATGAGGCCGCAATTCAACAGGAAGCTGCTGTACCTAGCTAGCTCACCTGGAACAGCGCAACAGGGTCAGGAGGCTCTCAACAGCAGCCCTCCTGTGCTAGTAGTCATCCCCAGCATTCAGGTAAACTGGGACAGCATGACTTCTCCAGCTCTCCTCTCCCTACCCAAGCAAGGTGGGTCCCATTTACAGTTTATACTTCCTTCTTTATACTTCAACACTTATGTGAACAGTCTAATCCTTCATGTGGTGTTTAAGAGTGTGTGCACTGGTAGCCAGGCTTGGTGGTATATGCCTGTAGTCCCAGCTACTTGGGAGGCTGAGGCAGGAGGACTGCTTGAGTCCAGGATTTCAGGACTGTACTGTGCTATCATCGTGCCTGTGAACAGCCATGAGATACTAGCCTGGGGAACATAGCAAGAACCTATCTCTCAAAAAAAGTTTTTTAAAGAGGGGTGTGCACTGGAGTCAGAATGCTTGCATTAAAGTACTTAGACACCATCTCTCTAAATCCTTCCTTTGTCTGGAAAATGGGTGGGATAACATTATCCTTCTTGAGATGGTTGATGTGATACAGATTAAATAAGATGCTGATTGTGGATAATGCAGTAAGGTATTTCACAAAATGCCTGGCACATGGCACCTGCTCAACACAAGGAGCTTGGAGGCAAAGCAAAGTTCATCAATTTCTAATTCTTATTTCCCAACTGCTTCCAGAACTTCATCCAGTTATTCTGCAGCATTGAACATTTAACTCACTATCTTGAGTAAATGAGGACCTTATAAATGCCCACTCTTCTCTTCCTTTGGCACTGAACCAGAAGTCTCAATCTGGTCTTTAGCCTATTACTCTATTTCCCTCTTTGGTTTAACTTGCCTCTTTGCATATGGATCCTACCGCTGTCTCTACCCCATGTCTTCTGATAGCAGCCCCACAGTGTCCTCTTCCCTCACCAGGCAGGTTCCCAAGTCAGATGGGCTGTCAGAGCAATTTCCTAATCCATGCGACTTCTACCCTGTTAAGTAAGCCCAAAAGCAGGGAAAGCAGACACAAATGGGGAAGTCTGGGCAGGATGCACGGGTTCTCTGGTGGTCAAATATCTTCAGGCTGTGTGAGCCAACTTCTGCTTTCTCCACTGTCTGCTGACATGAGATGCTGTCTGGGCAGGCATGGGGCTGAGGAGCTGGCAAGATTCACAACTGCACCATCACGATCAGGGTGGAACTAGGGTAGACAACTGAGGTGTGGAGGTCGATCACCAAAAAACCCTTTCAAGTTCATGCAAGGGCAGGGACCAATTAAGGGCGCCTCTGCCTACGGGCTGTCGATGGAACTCAGGCGGTTTATTATTGCACTCACAATTCTAGTCTGCCTTGGGCACAGCTGGGAAACCATATCAGCACCTACCAATAAATCTCCCACCTCAGGGTATCAGCCTCAGAACAGCCAGGTCTAGCACAACAAGCCATAAATCAGGCAGAGAGAAGACATTCTTTCAAATGACAACCAACCTTCTCAACGATGGAAATAGAGGACAGAACTAACTAGAATAGTATGTTTGTCACGTTCTTCTTGAAACCTTGGGTTAGCAGCACAGGCTTCAGGTGATTTTCAGGGTCATTCACACTATGCCTCTGAGTGTTAAGGAGATTCTTTAACGCCTTGTGATAGCAGGGTGGGAGGAAACAACCGGTGACCTCACATGAACACTGCTGTTAGGGCAATCTTAACAATGGCTCCAGACACACAGACAGATAGACCAGTCTTCCTGCCCCAACCAACCACCTGGGGAGGAGGGGGATGCGAAGGGAGTGCTCCCACATGACTCCAGCGTCTCAGGCAGTGTCATCGACCACTCTCTTGCTATTCCCCTGCTTTTCACACTTAGGGAGTTACAGTGCAGATTTTGTATATGTGCCTTTTTAGTAATTTTCTAGAA